CATGGGCTGCACAATAGCTCAGTTGTTAGCACTGTCACCTCACAGCAAGAAGGTCACTGATTCGAGTCCCGGCTGGGAATCATTTAATAGATGATAAAAAAGGGACACATTACATTCTTATATACAACTTACGTATTAACAAACCATTAACTAAGACTTTTAGCTCAATAAACTACTAATTAGATGCTAGTTAATGATTAGTAAGGTAGTGATAGTACAGGGTGTTTAGGTATGTAGAAAAATATACTTAAATAAATAAAAGTACTAAAAAAACAAACAGTTAATGCCTTAATAATAAGCAGGTAATGAGTTAAAAATGTGAATTGTAACTTAAACCAAAACAATTCATTAGAAGCTAAAAAGTGTTTAAATAAATGAAAAAAAAAAAAAAAATCCTTCGGCTTAGTCCCTTTATTGATCAGAGGTCGCCACAGCAGAATGAACCGTCAACTTATCCAGCATATATTTTACACAGAGGATGCCCTTACAGCTGCAAACCAGTACTGGGAGGCATCCATACACACACATACTACGGCCAATTTAGTTCATTCAATTTACCTATACCGCATGTCTTTGAACTGTGGGGGAAACTGCAGCACCCACCCACACAGACATGGGGAGAACATGCAAACTCCACACAGAAGCGCTAACTTGTCTAGCTGGGACTTGAGTCAGCAACCTTCTTGCTGTGAGGCAAACCACTGAGCCGCCGTGGCCCCCATCTGACATTTATCTTATTGCAAAAACATTTACAAGCAATTAAGACTAATTTTACATACATTTAAGGTGCTAATTAAACATTAAATATATTAGTATTCTAATTGTCAAAATCAATATCAAATACTATGAAAGTCAGTGGTTACAGGTTTCCCATTTTTTTCCAAATGTTTTCTTTTGTGTTTAACAGAAGAAAGAAACAAAGTAAAAGGTGTGTAAATGATGACAGAATTTTCATTTTTAGGGGGACGGCCTCTTCTAGGAGGTTTTAGCCTTCTAGACTGTTTCTAATACTCAAAATCAACATCATTTGTTACATTTATATTCAATTCATGACTAATGCCACTTCTACAGTACCAATAATATATATTTACAAAGTATGTTTCGGACACTGAAGTACTGGTAAGTATGATTCTGATAACAATCCATACAATATTATCATCTGAAACTTCCAGTGTAAAGGGAAATGCTGACACCTTCATGGTTATGAGGGGATAAAAGCTAGTGCTAATTCATTCATTTTAGATGTTACCGCTCTAAAAACTCGTTTTATTACAGCAGACTCAAAAAGCTCTCTGGAGTTCTGCATAAACAACTGTGTGACTAGCGTAAGCATTTAACTTTCTCGTTAGCAATCTCCCCCGTGTGGCGCTTTAGCCATGCTGGCTTGTTTATTATGTTCATAGCTTTGGCAGAAAAAGAGATTTAAGTGAACTCCTACGAATAGGAAGCACTTGTAAATGCATAGAAACACACTCAGCTGTAGAAACAGGGGAATTAGGAGCTTACCAAATGCTAATGCTAATACAAAGCAATTTTCAACCTGATGCTGATACACAGAATTACTTTTTTTTTTGTAGTAAGCAATAAAATGTACTCGGAAGAGCTATTACATGGACCCTAATCCACCCCTGCGCCCTAACATGCATCAATATACAACTTTTTATTTGGTGTTACCTCGGAATTTCCATCTTTGTGGTTGCCGTAAAACGAGAGGATGAGGCAAATAAAGTAAATAATCAAGTGTATGATCTTCACAGGCATTCCAATTTAGCCTTTGGCAGGCACCACACAGCATGCAAATATCATTTTTTCCCCTGCTGTTTAGCTCTCTGAAAACGCACTCAGAGTTTAAGTGGATATACACTTACTGGAACTTGCGGTATTGTGGTTGAGTGGTGATACCAGGAGTCCAGACAAAAGCAGATGTGGACATGAAGTGGACTGTATAAAATTTTTGAGATAAGCCTTTTTGCATTGGATAAAAGTACATGTGCAAATGCAAATCCTGTGCATGATCTTACAGTGTGATAATGTTTATTTTGTCTGCCCAGTTGAAGGGAAAAAGGGATATAAACGTGCTGTTCCCCAATCGAATGGTCAAACTTGTCCAAAATGTAAATTTGTGCCAATGCGGTTTGCAAAACACTTACAAGATAAGCAACTAAAAAAAAAAAGAATACAATATAAATATGTTTTTGTATTTCAATTGGTAAAAGCAATAAATATTCTTAAAAACAAAGTTGTTTTGCATTCCAAAAGTGAGACATAACATATATATAATATATATATATATATATATATATATATATATATATATATATATATATATATATATATATATAAAGAGAGAGAGGTTTTGTACTTTTTTATAATTTTAAAACAACTACATTGAGAAAAAATATTAACAAAAAAAATTAAAAATAGTAGAGCAATTTCATGCAAACGTCAACCTTTTTTTTTTTTTTAACATGAAACCCTTTCTAAGTTTTTATTTTTATTTTACAGTACAGTAAAAATACTCCAAAAATGCCTCTGCCAATGTTTTCAAACAATTATGTTTGATTTACCACACAAGTCACACAAATGGCAATTTCCAACCCAGGCTCATTCTGATTATGTACCCCTATATACATTTCTGGAGAGCACCAAATATACCCCAGGAGGTATGTTTTTATTGCAGTTTTTGTTTTTGTAAATGCACCAGAGGTCGTTGTGTACGCTTTTTAAGATCTCAAATTTCTCCAGCGAGTGCCATTCGTGCCTGCTGTTCTCACGTAAATCCACCAGAGGCCGCTGTTGTCCCCTTGCCTAAACCCAACCGATACTGTTTTAAAAAGCACCGATTGACCAGCACCCACTCACTTCACAAAACCCAACCGACAGCATTTTAAAAAAAAAGCAATCCAGAAAAAGAAAAGGGCTCAAGGTGGCCTGATTTTTATCATGTTTTCAGATTTTACCACATTCACACCCTGTCATTTACTTGTTTATTTAATTTTTTATTTTTTTTTTTTGCCCTGTGTTTTTGTCTAACCTGTTTCTGGAACTGTTCTCCGCTGGACTTGAACTCTATCGGCATGGTCAACTCTGCTTTACGTCTCAAATACTGCCATGTAAGCGGCAAGCCACTGGACAAACTGGTAACAGCGCAAAAGCCGTCCACATAGAGGTAAGAGATCAGCTAGTAAGCGCGAAAACGAACGGTGTCATTAATGAAAGGTGCCCCGTAACATTAGTTTTAAAGAGAAAATGCCGCCATTCCTCTGGCTACATAATTCTACATAAACATATACAGGGCTATGTTTTCAGAATGAGCCCATGTTGGCACATCAGTCACATTTAAAATGAAGCTTTTTCCTCATAAGTGCAAACATGTCAAATAAATAAAAAAAAATCTATCAATTTTGTTCTATGGTGAGCCAAATCTTATTTCTTTTGATTAGCATTGTTACTTTAAGGTTGTGCAATTCAATACACAGAATTTCTAAAGCATGCTGTATACTGTAAACTTGCAGACTTTTTTTGGTCACATGATAATGCATGTATATTTTCCTCATTTAAATATAAAAATCTTAACAGATTGATATTTTTTTCTGATTCCATAACTTTGTGGTTAGTAGTTTTAGAAAATATAAACAGATTTTTCAATATAATGTTAACATATACTTTCTATGCAAATTTATATTTTGCGTTTTTATTAAATCCATAACACTGGAATTGCTCAGTAACCTCCAAATTGAATTATTTTTTAGAATAAAAATAAAATAAAATACAACTTTACATTGCTGAATCAACCTAAATACATTGCTTTTTAAAAATGTTATACAAGTTAACAGATAGAAACAACAAATAAATGCAGGTTATTGTTTTTGGCAGAGCAAAATAAATAAAATTATGATTCCATCTCAGATTCATATAAGGATTAGGTTTAAATATTTTAATAAAATACATCTAATTATTTTTACAGCCTTTAGTGTAATTACACAAATGGGAGATCAACATACAAATGATGCAAAAAAAGATAAGGCAGGAGAAGCTTTTTAAGGCATATATTATGGTGAGAGAATCAGAAAGAGAAAACAAACACATAGCGGGCTAGTTTTAGATATTTGGGTGTGTGTGAATGTGTCTGCAAGTATGAGCTCATGGGAATGGATGGGAAGTCCCTTCCTCGTGCACCGTACTGTCATAGACAGAACACAGACACACAAACTCCCCCCATCTCACACCCAGTACATGAACACCCCTATTTCACTGCTATGGTTTGCTCCAAAACCTTTCAAATACTGCTTGGTGCTATTAAAGAGTTCACCCAAAAATAAACAGTTACTTTTCTTCACTTGCTCATTTTCAAGGGGTTTTGCGTATAACAGTTAATTTTTTTCTGTTGAACGCAAAAGAAAATATTGTGAAAAATGTTGGGCATTCACATCCATAGTAAAAAAAAAAAAAACAATAATAAAAATACTATGGAAGTCAATAGGTACTCTGTGTTCAACAGAAGAAAGAAACTCAAACAGGTTTAGCACAAGTCGAGGATGAGTAAATGATGGCAGAATATTCTTTTTTTTTTGTGAACTGTTCATTCAGGGGCTCAATTTTGTCTTGTCGTTTCTTGCCCCATTTTAAATATGTTGACTATTGCAGCAAGCAAACAAGGATTCAAATAAGTCAAATCCTCTCTTAAGAATGAAAAGTACAAGAAACAAAGGGAATAAAAGACCTGTGCAGTTAGGCAAATAAGGCATCCTGTTTAGTGGAAAACTTTGGCGAAAATAAACGACCTCTCCTTTTTTCTCAACCTTGAAAATACAAACACAAGAGCTGCAACAAATCAAGTGATTCATTAAACTAGAAATAGAATAATAGCACCAGTTCTGACCTCTCCAGTCCGTCAACAAATACACACACACACACACACACACACACACAAACACACACAAACACACACACACACACACACACACACACACAAGTCTAATAACTAATCATTTGTTTACCTTATCCAAGGACTTGCTTATTTGCGGCCGTCTTTAGCTCCAGCGCTGCGTTTAACCTCCCTGCCCTGCAGAGACAACAAGCACAGAGAAAACGCTGGAGCTGTAAAAATTAATACTGCTTTCACAAACCATCAGTCATCTCTGTGTACAAAATGACATTTAAGTATGCTATTTTTGCTTTTTGATGTTGCAGATAAATTAATGAGGACTCTGATATACCGAAGTAAACAGAACTTTAGAGAACTTAAAAAAATAATCAACAACCTTAAAACATTTATACCCTACGCATTACTAAAGAAATAACTATTAATATTTGAAACATTTTAAATTTAGTGACTCATTATCTTTTTTAAGTAATGAAAATAATCCTTTTTTTAAAATCACTACAGTATCTGGATATATTACACAATATGTACTAGGAGTGTGGAATTTCGATTAGCTATATAATAATATGTGGTGTAAAGTAACAAATTACAAATACTCAAATTACTGTAATTGAGTTTTTCTTTGAATGTAATTTACTAGGTAGTTTTATAAATGTGTACTTTTACTTTCCCTTAAGTACATTTTCAGTGCTGTATCGGTATTTTTACTCTACTATTTTCCTTCCTTCTCCAATCACTACTTCATTTTATCTTGTTGAAGGTGATTGGCTGAGTAGAAACATTAGTCTTGTGATTCCCATCCAATCAAATCGCACATAGAAAGTAAATCAACAGCTTAAAGTTAAGCTAAAAGTGCTCCCACCAGACACAGAGATTGGCTAAATGAATTTAAAAATGGTACAAGTCCACTGTTTAACTCTAGGGGATTTGTAAAATAAGCTGATTTCTGACGAAAAAAAAAATGCAGTGTTCCTTTAAAGCATTACTATAAAACATATTTAAAAATATATAAATTCAGTTCATGGTACTCATGTTTTAAAAATGGTACTTGGAAATACCACAAGGTATCAAAAAACAACCATAATACATTCATTCCTTTTTCCAAAAGTATCTAAAAGTTCCAACAGTATCACAATTTGTTGCCAACCTCTCTATAAAGCACCTCTATCAAACATGAGTCATAAAGTTCACCATCTCGCATTTATAATCTTGACTCCCAAACAACATACTCAAAGAGCATATTCTCATGCTAAACTACTGAGAAAGATACTATAGGCCAACATCCCTTGGGCATTTGAATAAAAGCATGAAAGCTTAGCCGAACGTGAAAAAATATGCAGTTTACATTTGGCAGTCAAAGCAGTGGCTGGCCGTTTGAGCAGAGTGATTCTGTTTATCTCAGGTAAAGCGAGTGCAGATAAAAACACACACCGATGTCCCTGCGTCAATTACCTGTTAAAGCAAGCGGTCAACATTCGCAGCGACTAAAAACAACCATTAAGGCTACACGCATTCCCCATTCTCCTTTGTCTCTCTTTCTAATTCATTAGACTTCAATTAAGACGTCATCCCTGCTGTTATGAATCAATAGCTCGTGGTGACAGGTGATGAATTTTTCAGCTTAAAAAGCTAAACATCATTTATTCAAATCACCTGCTAAGGTCTCAGGTGCTAAATGAGTTTACTGAAATGCCTAACGCTCATTTAGACAAATGTTCTCTCGTCCTAATGACAAGAGCGTTTTGCATTGAGAACAGGGAAGGAAAAGAGAGAAACACGCGACAGCAGTTACCTTTCAGTTTTTTAAGCCCCGTAATGCGCAGCTAAATCGATAACAGTCCAGACTGAATGCATGCAGTCGGAGGTAATGCTGAGGTTTGGAGCGGTGGGGTGGCGGAGGCCTGGGGAGTGAATAAATACGCTCGTACCGTCAGACTCAGCTGGAGAAGAAAAAGAACCAGCGCTCTGGTGCTCGGGGAACTTGCTGAGATGATCGGCTTCATGGGTGTGTTATGAAGGAAATGCGACGAGAGAGAGACAGTTAAATGAGCACATGGGATGAATACTGGCAGAAGACGATAACAGAGAAAGGCAGTTGGGAAAATATACTTGAGGTTCCTGTGAAAAGGTGTTTCTTCAATTACGTCCATGAGGATTTAATTACCTCACTATTCAGATTTACTAGTTTATTTGTAAGTAGTTATGTTTCCATTCACCTTTTTCTATGAGCATTTTGGATATGCGCATGAAAAAACAGTTGACGGAAACGCCAAGATGTGCATAAGTTTTGAAAATGCGCATAAAAAACATATACACACAACGGTTTATTCAATAAGAAAAGATGCACACAAACTATGATAGAATCACTTTTACCGAATAAATTCCAGTATGCACATTAAAAAAGGTCATGTGATTTTGTTGTGAGAGATCATGTGATTTCCCAGAGATGGGTTGCAGCTGGAAGGGCATCTGTTGCGTAAAAACATATGCTGGATAAGTTAGCTGTTCATTCCGCTGTGGCGACCCCGGATTAATAAAAGGACTAAGCTGAAAAAAAAAAGAATGAATGAATGAATGAATGAGATCATGAGATGATAAAAATGTGGGTGAATGGAAAAACCAGCAGGCTGAGCACATTATAAAACATCTAAAATGTTGTTTTGGTCATTCTAAAATGCCTTAACCGTTTTAGTATTAGTGTTATTATATTATTAATGACCTCCAGAACTGTCAAGAGCACCTGTGCTCCGTGTTTCACACCTACAAACACCACCACGTGTTTATTGTGTGTCAGCATTTGTCTTCTGAGGCACAAGTCATTTATTAAATAAAGAAGAGATTCACGCAGATTCTCCTTTTGCAGCAAATTCCATTTTTACTTTTGGTATTGGCGCCAGTTAATCAGGAAGTGATGATTTGTTTTGTTTTTTTGACTCATTGGATGGAAACGCTGCTTTTTTTGCATGTCTTTTATGCTATATTCCTGTTTTGCGCATAAATTTAACACGCATCATTCAATGGAAAATAGCCACAGTATATTAGGAAGTGTCCAAAGTTTGTTTTTATCATCCCTGAACAGTGATGAAAATATACAATTTCTATGTAATTTCTACATTTTAAACACCTATTGGAATAAAATAAACTTTAATATTGCACAAAAAGGATGTCTACCAGACATGATCCTTCAGAAGATAATCTGATATGCGGGTTTGTGTTTGTAAAATTTATACGAGTAGTTACTTGGAAAATTTTGTTGTGCTGCTGATTGTTTTTGTGAAATATCTTTTTCAGTGACAAATTTCTAATAAAAAAACCCTGAAATGTTTCAAACAAATAGTATTTAAAAATGTAACATAACCTAGGAAATAAAATTAAATTCATTAAAATTAAAAATGAATAAAATTTTTACTCACATCGTCATGCTTTTTTTTTTTTTACTAAACCATAAAGCAATTCTGTTATGGTTTAAAAATTGCATGACAATGGTTTACAAATTGCATGACAATGTGAATTAATTCATTTATTTATTTATTTTCCTTCAGATTAGTTTCTTTATTTATCAGGGGTCGCCACAGCGGGATGAACCACCAACTTATCCAGCATATGTTTTACACAGTGGATGCCCTTCCAGCCACAACCCAGTACTGGGAAACACCTATACACTCTCACATTCACACCCACACACAATACAGCCACGTTAGTTGATTTAATTCACCTACAGCAGGGGTGTCCGAAGTCGGCTGGAGGGCCGGTGTCCTGCTGACTGTAGCTCCAACTTGCTTCAACACAACTGCCTGGAGATCTTCTTATATGCCTAGTAAGAGCTTAATTAGATGGTTCAGATGTGTTTGATTAGGGTTGGAGCTAAACTCTCTAGGACACCAGCCCTCCAGGACCGAGTGTGGACACCCCTGACCTACAGTATAGCACCTATCTTTGGACTGTGGGGGATACCGGAGAACCGGGAGGAACACCACACGAACATGGTGAGAACATACAAACTCCACACAGAAACATCATCTGACCAAGCCATGGTTTGGACCAGAGACCTTCTTGCTGTGAGGCAACAGTGTTAACCACTGAGCCACCGCACTGCCCCAAAATTATTTAATTGTTTAAAATAAAACAAAATAATAACAATTACAAGTTATAATAAAATACGCATCTTGTAAAAGTGCATGACAACTTGTTTGATAAAACTGTATTCAAACTAGGGTTGTCATAAGCATCGAGTTTGGTATCAATCTGTAATGAAAAACCTTTTATGCTAACATTTTAGCGCTGTTGAGCACATTCCTAAACACTGCTGACTGACCCTTGTGAACAGCAAGGAAGAGTGATAAACCGATGACTTTCAGGACCAATCACAGTCATTTCTGTTGAGCATGAGAACACAATGGTCAATCAGCAGTGGTTAAGAATCTGCTCAACAGAGCTCAAATATTAGCGATTGGTACCGAACTCGATACTTTTGACAACCCAAACAATCATTTAGGTATCCACGAGAATAAAAGGAATATACTAATGAAACTGACATAGCTGGTTTACTATTTAAAGGTATTTATGTTTGCAAGCATTTGTATTTTGTCTGGTAAAAACTTTGATCATGCATTGACACTGATGGCTAAAACGACAGCATGCACATGATGAATATCAATAATCTCATTTGAAAATCCACATCTGAAGAGGACTTATAAAATGTTGTTCTTATTCAAGCGCATTTACATTGTACAGAATTCCTGGCTAAAACCAAGCCAACACTAACGGAAAAAGGCCCTGGTGGTCATTATGAACGCCTCTTCAGTCCATCTAATGGACCATCTCTTCCCTCACTTCACCAAAAACACAAGAGCACATGAATATTTACCACCAAGCAAAGCCTTTCCATTAATCGGTTCGCAAACGCCTAAATAGCATATCTGTAGCTACTTCTACATGGAGGTCATAAATGAACATTCCTGCTTCATTAGCATATTAATTTATGCAGCCACTGAGTGCAGCTCATAGGCTGTGACCAGCTCCTCTCCTCCCCTATTGGTCAAGGAAAATAATTCATCCAGTGTCCTCTGACAAGTGGGCTTGATTTTCATGTAACAAAACTGAGTGTAATATATATTAGTATATTTAGTATATATATTTAAGTACTGTAAAAGATAAACCAAAAAATAAGTATCTACTCT